TTTTTTTTTGTGGTTAAACAAATTCAAAAGTCTCAAATTAAACGACAATCTTCCTAAAATAAATGATTGTTAAACACTTAAAATGCAACAGGAACTTACTTTCATACCCCACCAAGCTCAAAGCTGAACTAGAACTTTCATTCAAGGATTGATTAATCTGAAGAATCAATGCACGAAAGAATAATGTACAAAATTTAAGATAAGTCATTTAGTCAAGTTACAGTACCAGCACATCTGCAGTCAACTAATGGTAAGGTTGAGATGAATAAACTTCCTTCCTGTTAATCAAATGCAGGGATTAATGCAAACATGAGCGCCTAAACTTGAAAAATGTAACCCGTATATTAAGAGAATGACTAGCATTTATGTACACAAGTAATCGAGGACGAAGATCGAAAGAGTTAAAATTAAAATGCAAGCAAACTGCCCTCCCAACTCAAGAAAACACTAAATCAAACTGCCATAATGCATTTTGAGTTTTTCCTGAAGCTTACAACTCAATGGTATTACCATGGATCCCAAAATCTTGTTGATACCACTCAAGCTCTTTGTTTGTTTTCCACACAAATTGTATTTTTCATATTGTACACCATCAAATGCCATTCACGAAACAAAGCGAGGCTTAGCTACAATCTAAAGACCGGACCAAATTCCTTTAATCAACTGAGAAACTGTTTGCCCAAAAAATAATCACAAACGAAAAGGCAGAGCTGAATTTGAGCTCCATGGTTTGTTTCAGATTACCAGCAAACCATTTCAGACAAAATATAAATAGGGAATTCACGAATTAATGAACTTCCACATACTGTAGCAAAATAGAACAAAAAACAGAAATCCCACCTCCGTTTGAGGTTTTGAAGGACGGAGTTGAGTTTGAATTGCTTGTTGTATGCAAACGAAGGACAAGCGAGATGGTCGCGGCGAAGACGGAGAACTTGAAGATTGCAGAAGGCCTGAAAATTGCGAGAAGTTTGGTGGAGAGGCAAAGTTTGAAAACTTGCGACAGTGAAAAACGCTCTAGGGATTGTGGCAGGGGTATCTATAGGGGATGAAGAGGAATAGGCAATCAAGATCTTAACCGTTGGATTATGGTGGAGTGAGGGGCCACGATTAAAGGAAAGCGGAACATGCATTGGATTATTAGTCGTTGCCGTTTGTACAGCTGTAAACGAGTCGGGCCAAGCTCAACTCGTTAAATAAACGAGCCAAATTTTGAGCTCAAGCTCGAGCCTTAACGAGTCGAACTATAAAAATTTATATAAAAATTCTATTTTCGAGTCTCGTCGGGTCGGGCCGTTAACCAATCGAGCTTTAAATGAGCTCGAGCTCGCCTCGTTAAGGCCTCGAACTCGAGCCGAGCCGAGTCAGGCTAGTGTTGATCCAACGACTATGTTGGAAGAAATATTTAATAGGCACGAAGTACGAAGGGGCGCAGATCACGGAGTAATGATGGGATCGACATGAAAGGACACGCCTAACGGATTGGACAAGTGGCAAGGGTTGAGTTTTGAAATGCTGAAAATGATGGTTAGAAAAGAAAATGGCGGAGAAGCGAAAAAACAAACCAGTTAACCGAAAAATAATGACGGATATGAGGACAGTTAAAAGACGGACGAAACTTTACTCTTAGATCGAGTCGTTTAGACTCGACCAGAGTATGTGAGACTAGATGATATGGGACATGATACTTAGGACCGATCCAGCTAGCCGGTCGAACAAATTGAAGGAATCGCTCTGGTCGAACATAGTCCAAGTGAGAGGGTAGTGGTCGATGATCATGGAAATGAGGACCTTAGAAGGACATACCGGTCCCAACTCTGTCGAGGATCTGGTCGATGAACT